ATTTTTTAAGCTGTAAACTTCCACAAGGAAAAGAGGCGGGGCTTCTTTCAGGAACACACTGTTCACGATTCGCTCGTCCAGCTCCGTGGGCCAGACTATTTCCTGCATCAGGCTGTGAGGTCATTTTTGTAGTTTTTCTCCTCTAACCAATTAAAAACAGGAAAGTCTGAGTTTTCGTCAGTTGTGACAGCCCTACAACCAAAACAAGGAGGTGTGACGGGTTTGTGGAGCCTGAAACGGAAACTTTTGCTTTTGCTTGTCTTCACCGTGCGTCTGAAGACGAGCATTTATGAATCGACAGTGACCGAAGTGAATGACAGGATTTATTCAGCTGCAGATGTAAAACTACTAAAAGTGGAAGATTTCTAAGTGACAACGTTGTTTTTGTGCCCAAACTCATTTGCTTTTGCTGCCTGCTGCTGATTTATAGCAGCGCTAAATAAGTAAGAATGAGCTGTAGATGCTAACTGTGCTAATTAAGCATGATGATATATTAGCATTGTGCTATTTTAGCTATGTGAGTTTGTTGACACCCCACTGAACAGAACTAGTCTTGATATTTGTGTTTAATTGATTTCTTTATGCTAAGCTAACATTTCTAACTCTTGGTTGGGTTTTTTCCTCAAGCTCTTTTAGTTTTTAAATCTGCCTAAATTTTCATAAACAGCTAAATCTTAAAATACCACAGCATTTTCCTCCCTCCATTCCAGTAGCAACAAAGCCAGGTCACCATCAGTCCGTGATTTTGTAGTCTCCTTTAGCTCCCTCAAGCTAGCATAGGCCACACCGTTGTTCACTCTGGTTTTAGCTCTTCGCTTCACCTCCAAAGACGTTTTTCTCTCATACTTTTACTTCCAGGCTCCACAATGAAGCCAACAGAAAAGGCAAACTTCTTTTTTTTTCTTCCTCTTGAGATTTTTACAGACGATCAGCAAACTGAAAATGCTATTATTACAGCTAACAGCTATAAAGCAGACAAGAGTCCCTCGAAGAGGTCCACATAGCTATCTAGTGTGGTTTCTGGTCAGCAGAGGGCAGCAGACAGGTGTCAAATATGAAACTGGTCAAGTTTCTAACCCAACCATCACTGAGATTAATGATGAAGCTCTAGTCTTAAAAACTACCCTACGGGGTAAATGTGGTGCGACGACTTTTGTGTTTTGTCACTGGGAACTTGAAATCTAGAAAAATCCTGTCTTTCACAGATACAAACAGCAGCACCTAAGTGATTGTACCACATTTACCTCCATAGTAATGAACACAGGTTAGTATTAAGTGCCCTTAAAGAGCAAGTCACCCCCAAACCAAGTATTTTTTGCTGATAAACTATACAAATTAATGTCTAATCGTGCTGCAGACACGTGTAGTCAATAATTTTGCACTTTAGTGGATTTTAGTTAAAATTGAAAATTTCTGCCTAAAACTGTAAGTGTTGTGCCGTTGTCAGGTAACAACTCTGCACTGCATTTGAATTGAAATCTGCCATCGCTATTGGCTAAGAGGTACACAATAATGTTAGATGGTACATTATGATGTCACAATGTCATTGTGAGCCTGTGTGTGTGTGTATTTGTTAGCGGCTCCGCCCTCTCGGTCTGCTAGCAGAGAGGTGCTAACAAATACACACGCACACAGGCTCACAACGACATTGTGACATCATATGGTACCAGCTAACGTTCTAGGGTACCTCTTAGCCAATAGCGATGGCAGATTTCAATTCAAATGCAGTGCAGAGTTTTTACCTGACAACGGCACAACACTGACAGTTTTAGGCAGAAAAGTAAAATTTTAACTAAAATGCACTAAAGTGCAAAACTGTTGACTACACGTGTCTGCAGCACGATTAGACACGCATTTATATAGTTTATCAGGAAAAAACGTCAATTTGGGGGTGACTTGCTGTTTAAGATGAAGACAAAGGTCCAGAAGGGGTGTCTGCTTACTGACGGATTACATAATATGGTTAAGTAGTTGTTAATACTTTATTTAATAGTTTATTCATGCTTAATAATGCACTAAGTAACCTTAATAAAGGGGCCCTTATTGTAAAGTGTTGCCAAAGCCTAGCTCTAGATCAGCAGTACTCAATAGGCGGGGCCGCAAAGAAGGGGCCCACCATTACATTTCAGTACCCCTGATCTAGATCATCAACCAGCTAGAAACAGTAGAAGAAGACGATCTTTTCCACAGCGCCTCTCGAGATAAAACTCACAAAGCGCTTCACAAAAACAAAAAAAATTAAATATAAAAAATATTTTCAAAAATGTTTAAAATGACAAAAATATTTAACATTTAAAATTGTTCTTAAAATATGTAAAGTGGCCCTCGGCTTTGGACATACCTACGTCACAGTTTGCTAAAACAAAACACAAAATTATACTTTATTTGTAGATTTTAACCCAGAAATTCGGACAAAACTAGATTTCTTTGCAGAAAAAAGAACATTAACTGAGTAGACGAGTTAGATCAGACCAGCGTCCGCACATTTACCAGAGAAAGAGTTGTTAGTGTTTCCCTGCTTCAGTGTTTTTGTTTGGGATCATCTTCTGGCGGAGGCGTTCACGTGTAGCGTGTGAGGTTTCCTTCATCAGAAGCACACCGTCCTGGTTTCTCCACTCGGCAGGAAGAAGCTTTACAAGATCCAAACTAATGTTTCATTACAGAATAACAGCTGATCGTGAGACAGCAGGTTTTATTTACTACAACTTAAATGTTGGATTTCGCTCAAAGTTGTTCAAATATTAGTTCAGCTCCTAAAACCAAACAGCCAAACTCAGACTCTGTGTACAACGGACGGCTGGCGACAGGCGCTGGATGGGATTGGTGCGTGGTTTGGGTGTGTGCACCTGCATCACAACAAATCAGAGAAGGTCTGCTGATGGCGCCGGACCACGAGAAGCTTGGTTTTCTTTATTTCGTCTCTTTTACAGCCGTTTGGTTCGTCCAGAAACAGAACAGAAAACGCTCTCCCGGGGCTCAGATCAGATCCAGCGGTAAAAACATCGTTTATTCATGTAGCAGACGCTTTAACCAGACGTGCAGGTGTTTGGTCCGTGGGAGGAGACATGAGTTAGATTACGTCTGGATTTCAAACCTTCTGCTGCTGGATGTTTACTAACAGAGTTCACGTGAGCGCTGCTGAACGAGGTGTCAAAGTCTGAGAAACCAGTGGAGGTGTTTGACTTAGGAGGTCACTTCCATCGACGCTGAGGCAACGATGACACCCCAGCCCCTTATCTGCTCAGACACGGAGCGTTTCCCTGTCTGGTGAGGGTTTGACCTTTGAGGGGTCAGGGCTTGCTTTCTGTCACCTGAAGCTGAACCGGTCAAGCAGGTCTGCCTCAGAGCTGGAGGTTGTTCAGGTGGACTCGAAACCTTTAGCCTGGTAAAACTCCCTGTGTGTTGGGACGGTTCTCTAAGTTACATTATTGTTTTATCATGTTTTTATTCTTACCTCCTATATTTGCTTAGCTCTTATTTACTTCACCGCAGCAGTTTCCTGATGTTGTGATTCCCACACATCCGGCAATAAAACCTCCTGATTCTGACGTTTGGTGACAAAACTTCACCAGTGAAGATGAAAATAGAAAAACGCTGAGAGGAACAACCCCGTAGACAACAACGGCTTTTTGGTGGACAGGTGGTAAAGCCCCGCCCCCGCTGAAGCTCAGGTAGACTCCTCAGAAAAAACGTCGTCCAATGTCACTGGTGTTCATCCCAGTTTAAGGATTTTTGTTTACCTGCCAGCTGATGATGTCACTTCCTCGTACAGGTGACGCGGGTGTGTGATATGCTGTTAAGTTTCCTGTCAGATAGGGGCAGACCCGGGTAGGTGGTAACCATGGTGATCCCGATGAGCCTCTGTAAGCAGGGTTAACATTAACAGAAGATTCTGTGTTAGCTTAGATTGGAACAAACGTGTTTAAGTCGTAGTTTGCAGCTCCGCTTCAACGATTTCCTGCTGTTATTTTTTGACCCAAATGAATATGAAACTTTGAAGGAAGAGACATTCTAGCATCCGAACTCCTCGGAGTGAACTGTGAAGGTTTATATGCTTGTTCTACAGTCACCTCCATCCCTGTGTTTTCTGTTTTCCAGCTTTCAAACATTCCTCTTCTCCGTCCGCTCTTCCCATCAACCCAGAAGATCTGCTGTATCATGGAGCTGCAGAAGGAATCGAGCGGGATGCTCCACGACGCTGCTGTGGAGGGAGGGTATGTTTCTGGCTTCTGCTTTACCAGTTTTATAAAGATACTGGTGGGCACAAAGAAAGCCTCCACCTGGATTTAACCAAGCAGGCAGGTGGGAGCCTCCTAGTGGATAATTACTGCAACAACTTATTTAACCCAACTGGTGCAGTGAGCTGCTTCTCGTTTCCTAAACAACCAGGTGGAAAGACACATCTGGTGGTGGAGAAGATGTTAGTCTGGGTGAGAAGGGTCAGATCATCGGCATCACGCAGAGAAAACATCTAAGGAGATGCAGAAACTGTGTTCAGAACTGTCCAACGCTTTATTAAACTGGTCTGGTGAGTCCAGATGGACCCTGGTCCAGAGTGATGGCGCATCAGGGTAAGAAGAGAGGCAGATGAAGGGATGCACCCATCATGCCTAGTGTCTGCTGCACAAGCCTGTGGTGGCAGGGCTATGATATGGGCTTGCTGCAGGTGGATAGGTCTAGGTTCAGCAACAGGAAGTGCTCCAAGAATAAGATCAGCTGACTACTTGAATAGGTTACGCTAGGTTATTCCATCAATGGAGTCCAGACCTTAACCCCTTGGAGAGTCTTTGGGATGTGCTGGAGACTCCACCATCAATGCAAGATCTTGGTGGAACGTTAATGCAACACTGGATGGAGATAAATCTGGGGATTTGGCAGAAGCTCGTGGAAACAACGTGTAACATCTGGATTGTACTCGGTGGTTGAGAAGGCACAGTGTGAAACGCGTTCCAGGTCAGTGAGGAACTCACAACCACAATTCCTGGGAATTCCACGTTTGT